CTCTAATTAAAAAAGAATTTTTCATAAATATATATATTTCATTATATATATATAAACATAATCTATCTTGTGATAATTATATTTTTAATTCTTTTAATTAAAATTAGATGCAGATTAAATTTTTATTTTTTATTATTTCGAACCTATTTTCAATTTAAATCAAGAGTTTATTCCAATATAGTCGAATCAGTTTAAAACTATCAGAAAATCGCACAGTATTTCATTTTGATTCATACTACGCAAGAAAATTTCGTAACGCGCAGATTTCTGACAATAACAAATTTGGAAACATGCAAAGGGTGCAAAGCTCTAAGAGAGAAAGCTCTTCAGATTTGTCCTTTATTCTCTCGAAGAAAATGTGATTGTCGTAGTTACAATGCAATTTTCTATTCGCGACTATTCACGACTTTGGGCGCTACATATCGAATGAAAACATACAATTATGAGAACCATAAATAACTTCTCAAACATCTCGAATAAACAGCCGCCTACGTCGGAGCGCGTAAATTTTATTGCACCTGCCGTTTAATTTTGTCTTTTGAATCACCGGATTAAAATATCACCGATAAAGATCGACTCTTTCCTCCTGGAACAATATTAAACGATTTTACAGAATGAAGATTTATATAGCGAGGTGCGCATAAGAGCCTTATACCGAGCCTCTCGCTTGCGAATCGCGGGCGTGTTATCGCCGCTATTAACCGGCGTCCACCACCCGGTCGTCTATCTAAATTGCTTTCTATATTAAAGCAAAATACATTCCTATACCTTTATTATTGCCGGGGTAATGACGTGGCCCGCGCTCACGTTTCCTCCCTCTATCGTTTATTGCTGTTCGGCCACTACCTTCGATTTCCACGTCGCGACCTCTCACCGTGTTCTATTCGCTGTTGCCACCTCCCCTGCGGTCATCAACGACGTCGTCGACAACGACGACGACGACGACAGCTTCCGGAAATCTTATCGTTCGCGTAAGTAGGACTCGGAGAGAAAGAAAAGTGGTAAGCGCAGCAAGGAGATATCGATATCTACAAATATCGACGACGAATATTCCCAACCCCCCCCTCCCCCCTCCCCCCTCCCGAAAATTGAAGCACTCGAGCACGAAATTGGACGACGAGTCCGAGACGTTTTCTAGGACGAGACTCGTCACGTACGAAAGCTGATGATTCAACAACGTGACCATGAACTTGAAAACGAAGCGAAACGGATCGGACGACAGCTCTCGGGGGATGCTCGAGGATAGGGAAACCTCCACTCGAACTCGGAAGGGATGATCGGTCGTTGTGCCGCTACTTACTACGGAAACCGGGATCGCCGGGATTCACGCGACAGATACAAGCGG